AAAAAAAAAAAAAAAAAAAAAAATCTGAACAAAGCCAAGAGGTGGGAAGACAACTAAGATGGTCTGAGTTTTTATCAAGGGTGCTCTTTACTCTTCCCTTAAATAGATTTTATTTTTTGAGACAGAGTCTTGCTCTGTCTCCCAGGCTGGAATGTAGTGATGCCATCTCTGCTCACTGCTGCAATCTCTGCCACCCGGGTTCCAGCAATTCTCCTGCCTCAGTCTCCCGACTAGCTGGGATTACAGGCGCCTGCCACTGTGCCCGGCTAATTTTTGTATTTTTAGTAGAGACGGGGTTTCACCATATTGCCCAACCTGGTCTTGAACTTCTGACCTTGTGATACACTCACCTCGGTCTCCAAAAGTGTTAGGATTACAGGCATGAGCCATTGTGCCTGGCCTAATTTTTAAATTATTATTTCCGTTACAGACAGGGTCTCTCTTTGTTGCCTAGGCTGGAGTGCAGTGGTGAGATCATAGCTCACTGCATCCTAAAAGTCCTGGGTTCAAGCCATCCCCCTGCCTCAGGCTCCTCAGTAGTTGGGACTACAGGCATGTACTCCCATGCCCAGCTAATTTTTATATATCTTGTAGAAATGTGGTCTTGCTATGCTTCTCAGGCTGTTCTTGAACTGCTGGCCTCAAGAAATCCTCCTGCCTCAGCCTCCCAAAGTGTTGGGATTACAGACGTGAGCCACTGCACCTGGCCTACGCTGTGAATTTTAACAACTGTTTATTTGGTTATAATTACAGATTTGCAGCAAGTTGCAAAACCAGTACTGGGAGGTCCAAAACCCTCCGCCAGCTTCCCCCAGCAGTCACATCTGACCATTGTTCAATTTCAAAACAGGAAAATGACATTGATACAATCCACCTACCTAATTGAGATTTCACCCTTTATGTTGATAATGGTCCCTGTTAAAAAGTATTTCTGTCAGCTGTTTATGGTAATTGATATTAAGATTTTGTGATTGTCTCTCTAGGACCGCCTGTCTTTTTCATCTACAACACCACGCTTGATTACACATCCTTGCAAGAAAAATATAGCGCTATATCTAGGGTAAGCGGCCATATTATGTACTGTTATCTTTCTTTTAAATTACATCTTTAGGGGCCAGGCACGGTGGCTCATGCCTGTAATCCCAGCACTTTGGGAGGTCGAGGTGGGTGGAACACATGGTCAGGAGTTCGAGACCAACCTGGCCAACATGCTGAAACCCCTTCTCCACTAAAAATACTGGTAAATTTAATCTTTAGGTTTGCCCTCATTCATTCATTCATTCATTCAACAAACATTAAAAAAGATGGCTCTGCCCTGTGTTGCTAGTTGCTGGCCTGTACAAGTCCACAGTCAGGGGCTAGAATTGGAGGAAGGGAGCTGAAGAGTTCAGCCAGCAACTAAAACAACTGCAGTAGTGTGGTGCCACCTGTTAATGATGCTTGGTATGTAGAAATACTTCAGTTGCTGGGGACTAGAAAAAAGACAAAGAAAAAAAAATGAAAGATGCTTGGTATAAGCGCTGCTGGGTGCCTCAGGAGAAAATGCCTAGGAAGTTTCCACCGGGGAGTTGATACCAAAACTGGCTTTTGATGGATGAATAGGAGTTCACTGGGATGGTGGGAGCAACCAAATGTGTATGGACTTAGAGCAGAGCACTCAAAAGAATGAAAACACCATGGCCAACATTCACTCGAGTTTGTAAGGGTAGCAGGTTAGAAAACCAGATACATACACCATGCCAAGATGTTTGCCCTCACCTTGAGGGTAGTGGACGATGGGGGCACTGCATGATTCTGGCAGCATCAAAAAGGGGACTGGAGGTCAGGTGCAGTGATTCTTGCCTGTAGTACCAGTATTTTGGGAGGCCAAGGCAGGAGGATCGCTGGAAGCTAGGAGTTCAAGACCAGCCTGGGAATATAGCAAGATCCCAGTCTGTACAAAAAATATAGAAAATTAGCTAGGGGTGGCGGTGTGCACAGCTACTTGGGAGGCTGAAATACGAGGTTTACTTGAGTACAGGAGTTTGAGGGTGCAGTAAGCCATGAGCACACTATTGTACCCAAGTCTGGATGACAGAGACTCTCTCTGCAGAAAAACACAGACACATCAGCAGCTCTTTTATAAATCAGCCAAGACCAATTATAAAAGGTAATTATGGCTGGGAGGTTGAGGCAGGATTCCTTGAGCCTAGGTGTTCAAAACCACCCTGGGTAACATAGCAAAAGGCATGTTTTTTTTGTTTGTTTGTTTTGCTTTGTTTTTTTGAGACAGAGTCTTGCTCTGTCACCCAGGCTGGAGTGCAGTGGTACAATCTCGGCTCACTGAAACCTCACAGTTGTCTCCTGGGTTCAAGTAATTCTCCTGCCTCAGCCTCCCAAGTAACTGGGATTACAGGTGTGCGCCACCATGCCTGACTAATTTTTAATTTCTGTATTTTTAGTAGAGACGGGGTTTTACCATGCTGGCCAAAATGGTCTCAAACTCCTGACCTCAGGTGATCCACCCACCTCGGCCTTCCAAAGTGCTAGTAGGATTACAGGTGTGAGCCACTGTGCCTGACCACCCATCTTTCTCTCTTTTTTTTTTTTTTTTTAAAAAAAAAGGCTACTATGAAAAATATTCATGGGTGGCAATAAAAATTAAAAGGAATAGGAATTAACTCAGTAATTCTTATCTGTTGAAAACCATATGAAATGAAAACCATAAAATGTCTTGGGAGTCAGGGGAGGAGACCTGGATGATAAAATTATATACCATGTTCATGGATGGCTTTTCCTACATAAAAGTTTCTTATCTGAAAGAACAAATTCTTTCTTACATACACATTCCTGATCTGAAACTATTTACTTTAGTGGAATTAGAGCCATATAAATTATGAAACTGAAGTACATCCTGTCAATCAATGTACATTTTATATAGTTTTATATTTGATGTGTTCACACATTTAAACTGTTATTTCTAGAGGTCAAATACTGGGACTATAGAGGTTTATTTATGCAAAATAAGTAAAGTTTATCTAAATAACTCCTGGTTACAATAAAAATTTTGTTTGAATGGAAACATAGAGTAACTCTATAGTCTTTTTTCTTTTTTTTCTTTTATTTATTTATTTATTTATTTGGAGACGGAGTTTCGCTCTTGTTACCCAGGCTGGAGTGCAATGGCGCGATCTCGGCTCACCGCAACCTCCGCCTCCTGGGTTCAGGCAATTCTCCTGCCTCAGCCTC